CGGCCCTGGGAGGGTGGCGATGGCCCCAGGAAGGTGACACTGTCCCCGGGAAGGTGGGAGTGTCGCCGGGAAAGTGGTGACGTCCCCGGGAACGTGGCAGTGTCCCCGGGTGTCCCCGGGAAGGTGGCAACGTCCCTGGGAAGGTGGGAGTGTCGCCGGGAAGGTGGCACCATCACCGGGAAGGTGGTGATGTCCCCAGGAAGGTGGCAATGTACGTGGGAAGGTGATGATGACCCAGGAAAGGTGGAACTGTCACCAAGAAGGTGGCACCATCACCAGGAAGGTGGTGATGTCCCCAGGAAGGTGGCAATGTCCCTGGAAAGGTAGAACTGTCCCTGGGAAGGTGGCAGCTTTCCCGGGAAGGTGCCGATATCCCCAGGAAGATGGCGATGTATTCAGAAGGTGGCAACATCCTTGGGAAGTTGGCTGTGTCCCCAAGAAGGTGGCAGTGTCCTCGGGAGGGTGACAATGTCCCTGGAAAGGTGATGATGTACTCGGGAAGGTGGCAATGTACGTGGGAAGGTGATGATGACCCAGGAAAGGTGGAACTGGCACCAAGAAGGTGGCACCATCACCAGGAAGGTGGCAGTGTCCCCAGGAAGGTGACGATGTCCCTGGAAAGGTGATGATGTACTCGGGAAGGTGGCAATGTCCCTGGAAAGGTGGAGCTGTCCCCAGGAAGGTGGCGATGTCTCTGGGAAGGTGGAACTGTCACTGGGAAGGTGGCAGCATCCTCGGGAAAGTGGTGATGGCCCCAGGAAGGTGGCAGTGTCCCTGTAAGGTGATGACGGACTTGGGAAGGTGGCAACATCCCTGGGAAGGTGGCGATGTCCCTGGGAAGGTGGCAGTGTCCCTAGGAAGGTGGTGATGTCCCCAGGAAAGTGGCAACATCCCTGGGAGGGTGGCCATGTACTCCAGATGGTGACAGTGTCCCTGGAAAGGTGGAACTGTCCCCAGGAAGGTGGTGATGACCCCAGGAAGGTGACAGTGTACTCGGGAAGGTGGCAACATCCTTGGGAGGTTGGCTATGTCCCCAGGAAGGTGGCAGTGTCCCCAGGAAGGTGACAATGTCCCTGGGAATGTGGAACTGTCACTGGGAAGGTGGCAGCATCCTTGGGAAGGTGGTGATGTCCCCGGGAAGGTGGTGATGTCCCTGGGAAGGTGACAATGTTCCTGGCAAGGCGGACCTGTCCCCAGGAGGGTGGCAGTGTCCCCAGGAAGGTGGCATCGTCCCCTGGAAGCACCACGAGGCTGTGCCGCTGTTCCTGCTGTTCTGACCTCGTCCCTGGGTTTTGTTGGTGTCACCTGCGGTGTCCCTGCAGCAGTGGGGGCTGCGCTGTTTGAGGGGGACGGTCAGGGCGATGCTTTGGAAGTGCCAGGTGGCATCGGGGACACCGGGGGACGCGGAGGCCGGGGGAGCGTGGGGCCAGGCACGGCTGGGAGCCCCCGGCTCTGGCCCAGCTGGCCATGGGGTCCCGCAGGGCGGAGGGCTCTGCTCCTCCGTGTGCCCGTCCTGCCTGCGAGGCGGGGTGGGACAGCGCCGGCGGGGGGGAGGCCCCACGGACCCCGCCGAGCCGGGGCCAGG